ATATATATATATGTATAGTGCAATATCCCCTGTTATGAAACCCCTAAGTGTTGATAATTCCTTGTACACTCTAATTTACCACAGTTGAGTTTTTTCATCTTAGCCCGGAGGCTTTTTGAAACTTAGGGGGTGGGGAGTATTTTGAGCCGGTCAATTCCACTTCCAACAGCTAAGAGCCCTCTGCCAATGAGGGTTTATCGCTTCGGGTTTGGTGACGCACTGGGTCACCGACTGCATGGCTTTGATGGCTCCTACATGTTTCTGCTTACAGCCGGGTAGCGTAAACACACCTTGCCAGGCCTCTAGTTTCTAGTCATCTTACGTAGGAATTTTCATAAACGGGGGGTCCTGATTAGACCCCAAGGTACTATAGTCCTTCTTAGAAGTACCCCCAAAAAAGCACCGCTGAATTTTTGGAACCCCAAACATCAAACCCTATATAAGCCCTACGGAGCCCTACAAATCCCCTAGAACCCTCTTCAGACAGACTTCTAATTTTGGTCATTTTGGTTGGTCACTTTGGGAAACCCTAGCCCTAAACTATATGTAACCCGTATATATCCCCTATAGACCCCTTTTAAAGGGACCCCTAAACCCTATATAACCTTCTATAACCCTATATATTCCTATATATCCCTATACCCCCTTTAAAGGTATTTTCGTTAGTCCAGTCAGCGGGAACCCAAAACTGCGAGGAGCCTGGTTCTGCCAGCACAAGCAGCCTAAAAGCGAGCCGGGAGCTCGCATTAGGGGCTTAGGGTTTAGGGGTTAGGGTTTAGGGTTTAGGGCATCTACCTGTGCAGGGCTGAGCATGCGCCGATGGCGCCACCCAATTTCAGGGATCTGTGGGTGGCGGCACATCCTGCGCCCAGCGAACTTCGTGGATGTTGCCCGAGAAGCCATCGAAGCTGGGCTTTCTTCAAAGCCCGCTGTGAGACATCACAGGCTACCACCCAAATTGCTTCCTGTTAGGGTTTAGGGCTACGCCCTCAATTCCCGTCTCCAAAAGATCATCTTCCTGCCTTTGATTTCAAGTAAACATCATCATCAGCCCGCCGCAGGCGGTGGTTCCAGGAGGGGCCTCCAGGCGCCGGCTTGCCAGGAGGCCCCCAGCCTCGAGGCCCCTACCCTGCGAATTTGCTGCCAACCCCCCTCAAAAGAGGCTGAAAATTTGGGGGCGACGTTGGTCTGGGGTATTCCCATCAAAGGGAAAATCAATGCACATTGTAGAGATTTTGGCCTACTAGGGTGGCTGGAGGCAGAGCTGTACCTCCCGATGTACGGGAGGAGCTCGGAGGGGCTCTATAGGCTTTCCCTTTGTCTTACCCAGTACGGGTGTCTAAGCAGGCTGGGTAGGAATTTAGGGATGTTCAGAGTGGAGCTTGTATTAGAGGCTTTATTGCGGGTTATGTTGGGGTTGTATTGGGGTAATACTGGGGGTTTTATATAGAACTATTATTCAGGTTTTGGGGTTTAGGGTTTAGAGTTAGGAGGACCGTGATTATGAGGGATAGTAATGGCTATATTAGGGTCCTACTATATTCCTTGTTATACCACTATTACAGGGTGGGGGGGGGCCTCCTAATGTATTGGGCTAAGGGTTTTAGGGTTTAGAGATTTGCGTTGTTTAAGGTTTTAGGATTTGTTTTTTAGGGTTAAGGGTTCTAGGGTTTGGAATTTTTAGCGTTGTAGGGTTTGGGGTTTTAGGGGTCAGGGTTTGGGGGATCTTTGGATTTAGGGTTTTAGGCTTCACAGTTTTAGGGGTTTGGGGATCCATCCGTTCTTAAGAGGTTAAATTAAAAACCTTTGGGCAGCTAGCATGGACTTTTCTTCCTGGACTAGTGAGGACGATTTCCTAGTTCAGACTGCACCCAGCCACCCCGCCACACGCTTCTAGCCCAATCCATCTTGTCCCAACACAACATTGATCATAGTCCTAGCCAAAAACCAATACCTAGCACAACCCATGCTACCAATCTTACTGACATCTTAACCCATTAGTATCTATTTCCTGTAGCCTCCTTAGGAATTATTTCCCCTGTCTAAGCTAGTAGGACATTCTGAAATTATTAGCAATAACATTTTCATGATAGGCCTGGTGGGATTACAGCATCACCAACTGAGCTATAGTGTAAACTCCTAGGAAACTCCTAGTAGCCCCCCTAATATCCAATATAGTAGTCCCCTATATAATGCCCTATATTATATAACCCCCTTTAAGGAGTTTAGATTCTAGCTCAAATGAGTAGTATTTTATTTGGGGATACTATGGTACCCAATATAGAGTAAGATTATATCCTCCTTTTGGGTATAGTATTTTTATACAAGGAATATAATCTTACTAGGTTCAACCACCAAAAACACACTACTCATTTGTGGGCTCCTAAACCCTAACCCTAAACCCTACCCTAAACCTTAAACCTTAAACCCTAAACCCTAAACCTTAAACCCTAGACCCCAAACCATATTTTGGGTTCCTACAGGTTTATTTCGCGTTGTTTGGAGTCCCATCCAGCATCAGTAGCAGAGCAGGCCTACGGAGTGCCCTCACCAGCCCTGACTTTGCCGCTCAAGTTTAGGGTTTTGGGTCTGGGGTTCAGAGTTCAGGGTTTCGGGTTCAGAGTTTAGGGTTTTGGGTTCAGAGTTTTGGATTTGGGGTCTAGGGTTCAGAGTTTAAGGTTCCAATCCCTTACCTTCCTTTTTTTCCTCAGGATTTGTTAGTTTAAATTGTGCTTTAACCCACAGGAATTATTCAAAGTAGTTTATTTTCCACGCCTAGGGGGATAATTGTGCCTAGTATACACCACAGCCTCCTCCTCAAAACTGCTCTTGGATAAGTTAAGGGATGGAATGTTGTAGTGTGAAAGTTTATCTCAGCATTTGATTTTCCGCCCATTCTTAAGTGCTAACATAATCCCTGCCGGCTTGATTTCTAGGAAAGGCCCAGCCAGCTTGTTTTGGGCAAGTTCTCTTGTGCCATCCGGCCCGCTGTACCGCACCAACATCACAGGGTTGTTTAAGATCGATGGCTCATAAAAGTAGTAGGCGTGCGTGTCTCAAATGGGCAAGACCTATACAACCTGCGTTGCCGTTTAGGTCCAGACACGCCGCAGCTGGTGGTGCCAAGCCCAGTCCAAGAATTACAAAGATCACCTGTTTGCACGGGTGACTCAGCTCTTAAAGTCTTGGACGCTACCTGAGGTGGATGTGCTGCTGCAGCTCGTGTCTCAGGACCAAAGCTTCTGCACTGATTTTTTGGCCCGTGTCGCTTGTGCACACGTTCGCGGGTGTAACCTCGGGGGGCACAGCAATGAAAGGAGCACCAGATCCTGAACCGTGGTGAGCGCCGCACGAGACGTTCCGATTCGGACGAGGTGCCCTGCGTGCCAGATGCATGGAAGGACCAACCGAAAAAAGCATGTCTTGCAGGTGCAACTTGCTGATGAGATGCCAACATGCAAGCGCTGGCTGGCAAGCAGCAAAGAGATTGCTCGCGATTTGCCTATGCTGTGCTTATTTGTCCGTTGCCTGCGACAAAAATGCATGTTGGCAGCTTTGGCCGGAAAACATGAATGTACAGACTCAAAGAGCACAATTCCATGGCACGACTTGAGAATTTTCCGCAAGTGAAAATGCGTGAAGTCAGCTCGCCGCCAAAAATGAGCGAAACATGAGGCAAAAGTGAGCATGCATGCCACTACCAGGGCAAGCTGTATTTGTGTTGAATACTTGTTGCGGGCCATGGACAAGCATGGGAAACTGCTCATGCGTCTGCAACGAGACCTCAGCACACAATGTTGTGGAGCGCAGCCTCTTGGTGTTTAATGTTCTTGCACGAGGGAAGAGCTCAACTCAACCGAAGGCTGCATAACCCTGGGACAAGCTTTGCTGTGTAAGACATAAGTACCCAGCTCACCCCGCATGTCCTTTGCATGTTGAACATCTGAGGTGGTGCGCCAGAAGGTAAAAATGTCGTCAAGGCGCAACCCACCCTAGCAGACAAGCACTTGGATGAGGACCTTTGCGAGCCTTCGCTAAATTAGACACAAAGGCAAAGTAGGGCAATTCTTGCAGTGCTGGGAGTTGAGGATTACAGGACATGCAACAAACCAGAAAAGCTATTCGCCGCTGGCTCTAAGTGCTCAGCCATGTCAGAGACTTTGGACAGAAGTCTCCCACCTTGGATGACGAAAGTGCGCTAATTCCTGGCACCTGTAGGGGACTGGGGGTTCATGTGCATCTTATAGCATCCGCCATAGTCTGTGACAGGGTCTGCAGAGCCCAGCCGTACCTGCCCAGCCATGGAAGTAGAGGATGGGCGGCACTTTCGCAATGACTTTGATGAGGCGGCAAAGCCCGCTGATTGGGAGGTGAAGCTCCGCACAGCTTTGGAGGCTGCCAAGACCACTGTCCTTGAGGCCGAGCACCGCAAGGAAGGGGGTGTCAAAGCAGTGCGGAGATGTGGAAACAGAAGAGGGGCCTGAACCTGGCAAACTGTACCTAGCCTGACTGACTTAAATGCTCACACTAAGGGCAGCATCTACACTGGTGCTGGGGGAGTGGCATACATGCTGCTACATCTGGTGGCCTGTGGCATTGAGGATCCACATGCAGCCTCTGCAGCCAGTGAGATCCTAATGGAGGCTGAAGCACAGTCGGACGCGCGGCGCGTCACTTTTCTAGAAGGACTTGCAGGCTGCGTGGCTTTGCAGGCTTGGACACAGAGCCTCCTTGGCAAGCCAGAGAAGGTGCAAGAGCGTTTGCGGAAGCTCGAGCGTTTGGCAGAGCGTGCAGCGGCCTTACCTGATGGCGAGTGTGAAGTGCTTTACGGGCGCTGCGGCTTTCTATCTGCGGTTTTATTCCTGCGTCAGCGCTTAGACGACCGACAGCTCCTGTCCCAGTCCGCGACAGAATTGGTGCGACAGGTGGTGGCTTCCGGACAGCGCAGTGCGCAGGATGGCTGGCCTCTTTACTTTGAGTGGCATGAGAAATGCTACCTGGGGGGTGCACACGGGATCGCCGGCATCCTGAACATTCTCCTGCAGTTCCCTCAGGAGCTTGCTACTGCCGGAAGAGATGCGTCTGACCTCGTCCGTGCAACTGCTGAGAAACTGCTGGATCATCGACACTTGGGATAGTCTTGGTCGTGGCGTTTCTTGCAATTACCTTTTGCTAGGGCCTATCTCCTGAGCAGGTAGGCCTGTAGAAAGATCTAATTTCATGGTGCTAAACCATTGGGGTAATGTCAGGGTTATATGGGGATAACGGAAAAGAACATGGAAACTACTATAATGGGTTACATAGGGTTTGTACCAACCAAAGGCGCCAGTGCTGCGTGTATACCAACAATCAGAAGAGACATGAACTCTCACCATCTTCCAAACCTATAGGGGTTATATAGAGATTTTTCGGGGGAATATAAGGATGTTATAGGGACTATATTACTATATAGGGGTGGTATAGGGGCAATACAGGGATAACATAGAGACTAGATAGGGGTGATATCGGGACAGCCAGGATTTGTGAGCGGAAATCTGCCATCCTCACTGGGTAGCGGCAAGGATCGCCTCGTCCAGTTTTGCCATGGAGCTACCGGAGCCCAGGGTTTTAGGGGTTTAAGGTTTGGGGGTTTATAGGTTTTAGGGGTTTATAGGGTTTAGGGCTTAGGGTCCAGTATTTAGGGGTTTAGGAGTTTTGGAGTTTGGGGTTTAGGGCTTAGGGCTAAAAAGGGGGCTGGGGTGTAGCAGAGGTGTTAAGCTACTTGAAGGTTCATAGGTATTTCGAAGCGGAATCATAAGTCTCTCAAACTAGATTATGACCAGAGCTTTCCCAGATCTAAGCCCGCCCGCGGATCTGAACGGCGTAATGCTTAGCAAGTAGGTTAGTAACCCCTAGAACCCATAGAGCAAGCAGACTTATCCCCCTTGTTAGCCTAATTATTAAGTCCCCCAGACCCTCCAAGTAGGCTGCCAGCTCAGCATGCAACCCAAAAGCAACGTAGAAAAAATGGACCTTGTCACTGGTTGATGGTAGAATGGGGGGATATTAGATGATATTCCGGCTTATAGGAGGTTATGGAAACTCATGTGTCCCCATGACCTGGGGGTTCATTGTGGGCGGAGGGTCGGTTAGGGCTCAGTGATGATAGTGGGCAATTCTAGGAGGCCAAGCGCAACTTTTGCTCATGGTGGTTCCTACATCAGTGTTACAGCTTGGCTCGGCACCCTTCCGTTTCGTCCTGCGTTCTGTTGCCAGAACGCACTCTGATCTTGCTCCGATGTAGCCGGAGAGAACAGTTAACTAAAGATAGAGAGGGATGTTTTTTTTTTTCTCCGTATTACCTAAACCCTAAACCCAGCTGAGGTACAGCCTCAGTTGCACCAGTACGAGTGTCAAACCGGGGCAACCTAAAAAGTAATCAGTGAGCCATGTAGAAGCCTATGAGGAGCTGTGCCTTTAATGCTGCGCATGGCGAGTGTGCAGCCCGGACGCTGAATAGAAGAGCTCTCGAGTTTTAGATGCAGATGCAATTTTTGATTCCGCCTGATAGCTTTGTTTACTGAGGTTAGTAGGGAATAAGGGAACACACTACATAGGCATAATATTCCCCTCTTCCCTACTAACCAGTAAGTTTTGGGCCGTAAACCGTAATCCCTGAACCTTAAACTCCAAACCTTAGACCCTGAACCCTCCATCTTAGAATCCTAAACCGCTCAGGTACAAGGAGCCCAGATATCTGCAGCAGGCCAAAGAGCTAGGAGAGGTGATTTGGAGAAGAGGACTTCTGAGCACAAAGGCCGGATTGCTGTTAAGGAATTGAATTTAACCCTAAACTCCTTAACCCTAAACCCTGTTACTATGATGAGGGTAGATAGGGTTTAGAGTTTAAGTTGCTAGAATGGGGGAACCATATCAGTTACCATGCATAACGATTATGGTAACTTAATTTAAATTCTTTGACATCAGCCCCAAAGGGGCTTGGACTTTGTCATGGTACGCCCGGCAATGGTTTCGCGCTCCTCACCATCTACAAGCGGACCGAAGATGAAAAGTGGCTCGATCCTGGGTTGCTGTTAAGGAACTTAGATTATGTTACCATAATGGGTTTTCTATAGTAATTAATATGGTACCCCCAATATAGTAACTTTTATTAAGCTACCATAATGGGTATATATTGTAAATAATAGGGTTTCCTCAATATAGTAACTTAATTTAAGTTCCTTAACAGCAACCCAGAATCGAGCCTTGCACTTCGCGGTCTTCGCATGCGATCATCAGCGAGACTTGTGTGGGTTGTGGTACATGTCTTTCCCTTTTCTTCGATCTTCCCCAATTTGCGCAGGGCCCTTTTTGCAAACGTTTTTGAAGCCCAGGAGACCTGGTTGCACAGGCAGATCGGCCCCACTCGCTCTTCGAGGGCCTTGCTGGGGCAGCCTGCTTCTGGGGCTCCGTGCTCCGAGCGGCCACGAGAGATACGGCCACCGCCGGCTTCCCATGTTACGACTTTGACTAGGCATGACCAAAAACGGGTTCAGCTTGCTTGCACGTGTTGAGTTGACTGGGTCCACATTTGATCCCTTTGCACTTTCATCTTAAGTGTCCTGTCTATCTGGAAGGAATCGCCCCCCGCCCCCGCAATCTCCGCTCCCCACAAATTATAGAGCAGTAGCTCAGCCTGGGAAGACATACCATCTTCAAGGGATAATGGAAAATAAATGGAAACTATAGGGATCATAGGGATTATACTAGGGTTATATTGGGGTTATATGTCTTCATTGTCCTTAAAAAGTCACCTATCCCGTGGTGGGGAGGCTCCTGAAGCTCCGCTCTCACAGCTCAAACCAAAGCAGCAGCAAGGAGATCAACAACCTGTTCAGTAACAAGCGGTAGGGTTTAGGGTTGTAGCATAGCTCCAAAAAACCTCAACAATGGTTTCTTTCAGCTCAACATCCAAAGTCCAAAGCCCCCACAGCCCAAAACCGATCACAACACCTGAAAACATGATCCTTCAAACCACAAGTCTTCAACCCCCTGTAAGCCTCAAGGCCTAAATCCTAACGGGAAGTGACAAAAATCCTGATGGGATGTGAGTATAGGTAGGTTCCCAAAACGAGGGGACCCCAAAATACATCTCAGTATATTTTAATCCTTCTTATGGAGATCCCCAACAAGGTACCTCTAATTTCGGGAAACCCTAAACACCCTATGTCCCCCCTTCAAAGGTGCCCCTAATCTGGGGAAACCCTATATCCCCTAAAATCCTGATGTCCCCTTTCAATTTGAGGTGCCCCTAATTTTTGGAAACAACCCTTTTTAAGGATGGCTCCACGATCATCTTGGAGGGCGGCTTCCGATTCACTGGCACCTGGTCTCAGGGTCAGAAGCAAGGCCGGGCTTCGTGAAAATTAGGGTTTGAACTTTAGGGTTTAGGGTTCATGGTTTAGAGTTTATAGGGGTTTGGGGGTTAAGGGTTTATAGGGGTTTCGGGTTTAGTGTTTTGGCTTTAGGGTTTAGGTTCAGGGTTCGGGGTTTGCAGAGGTGTGGAGGTCTGGGCTTAGGGTTGAGGCTTTAGGGTTTAGGGTGTATAGGGGTTTAGGGGTTTGGGGTTTAGGAGTTTAGGGTTTATAGGAATTTAGGGTTTAGGTCTTAGGGTTTAGTGTTTACAGGGTCTAGGGATGGGTTGCCGTTCAGGAACTTGAACTTAAGTTACCATACTGTGCGTATATGGCAATCAATATGCTTCGCTACTATAGTACTATTGTAACTTAAAGTACGTTCCTTAACAGCAACCCAATTTCTGATAACATAATCCTCATGTAACCCCTATATGTCCCTGTATCTAACTCTTACTTCGAGGGTCAGCCGGACTTAGTAACCCCTACATGTCCATATATAACCCTTACATATCCCTGTAAAAACGGGTTGCTGTTAAGGAGCTTAAAGTAAGTTACTATACTAAGAAAACCTTCTTATGTACTATATATCCACGTTTTGGCAACTTGGTAAATCCTAAACCCTTAACCCTTAACCCTTAACAGCAGCCCTGAAAATTGCCAGGCTTTGGGATCCTCGAGCAGCCTGCAACCTGGCGTCAGGGGTAGAGGGCTTGTGGTGTGGAGTTGAGGGTTTCGGATCAAGGCTTAGGGTTTAGGAAGTCTAGGGCTTAGGACTGAATGAGGCGCGGAATGTTTGATTTGGCGTTTAGGGTGTAGAGTTTAGAGTTTAGGGTTCAGGGCTCCTTTTCATGTTTAGGATTTGGGGCCTAAGAATTGTTGAGGTTTAGGGTGCAGTCTGGCTGCTCTCTAGTGGCATGGCATCAGGCATGGGGCCCAGTCCTTTACCTTATATTACCCCATATAGCCTTATATTACCCTATAGAACCTTACATTACCCTATAGAACCCTATATTACCCTATATTGCCCATAGAACCAGGTTTAGGGTTCAGTGTGAGGATGGAAGCCGCTTTGAAGGGCAGTTCGTGGACGACAAGCCCAACGGCGAAGGGCGCTTGGCCTACGTGGCGGGGGACGTCTACGAGGAGACAGGGTTGATAGATACGGTAATGTAGGGTTCTATAGGGTAATATAGGGTTCTATAGGGTCATGTAAGGTTCTATAGGATAATGTAGGGCTATATGGGGTTATATCAGGTTCAGGGCTGGGACTGTCAAAACCTAGTTCCTAATTCCGCCCGACCCGCTGACTCCAAGCATGACTTGAGGGGCAGTGGGTCGACGAGCGTGCCGAGGGCTTTGGTCGCTTCACCCGCAAGGATGGGAGCTACTACGAAGGCCACGCTGTTTAGGCTTTAGGCTTGGTGGAAGGAAGCTTTTTTTTGTTTTGAGATGTTGTAGCTTTTTCCCGAGGTGCACATGTCAGAGCAGTTAGGAGGACCCCCCACCCTGTAATAGTGGTATAATAGGAATATAAGAGGACCTTAATGTAATCCCTATTATCCCTTATAGTCACTATTACTGGGTGGGGGGTCCACCTAACAGAGCAGTATAGTTTTGTATGGTCCATCCGCGACCAAAGGCCAGTGGCTCAATGACATGCAGCATGGCTATGGGATAGAAACATGGCCTGACGGTTCCCGCACCTTGGACGCACTTGTGCCTGGCATTCGGCTGAGTACACGGTATACCGTTATTTATGGTTACATAGGGATATTACACCCACAATAGGGTTCATGGAAAAGAACATGGACACCACATTTGGGGTTTGGGGTAGCTGGAGGGGGTATACATCCGCAGGCTCGGAGAGTGATTGCGTTGCTTGATTGATTTCCTGTGCCGAGGATTCGAGGGTATGTACTGCGCGGGGGCCAAGGATGCTTGATCAGCAGCAGGTCAATTTTTCCATTTCCTTGCCCATTACTTAAGTTAGCAGCTGCAGTGTTAACAAGCAGATACCATATCAAAACTCGTTGGATTCTTCTGAACGCCTGTAGGGTTTAATCCCCGCGCAGCGACGTTCGAGCCACCGTTTACCCCTTGATCGAAAGATATGCTCAAGCCTGGAAGAGTGGTCTTGCGACCCTGCTGCGGGATTCCAACTTAAAACCAAACCCCTGAACCTTTTTGAGTCCTGGATTATTAAACCATCACGGTCCTAAAGACTAACAGCCCTTGAGTCCCTTAACCTTTCAAACCTTGAGCCCTAACCCACCAAACAGGAAGGGCATGGGACCTTCACCTGGTCCGACGGTGCCATTTACAAGGGTTCGCTCAGCAACAACCACTTCCACGGATGCGGTGACTACAGGCTTGGATTGGACCGCGTAGTCTACAGCTGCTTTGGGAAGTAGCAAAGCACAGGGGATCATTGAACCCTTAAATCTTCACAAGGGTGCCAACATCGAACGTTTTTTGGTTCGTCTCGCTTTGCATTTGCCAGGGGAGAGGCTAATTGGAGGGCCATGCGGACTTAGTAAGTAGCTTTATAATCCCTATAACCCATGTAGTAACCCTAGTTATCCCCATTATAAACCTATTCATTAAGTTCCCCTGACCCTCCAAGTAAACCCTAAACGAAGGCCGGGCAATACCGTAAGGGTTACCTGGAGGTTGCTCAAAGACATGCGCCTCTTTGCTAGGTCGCAGTTAAGGAATTAGAATTAAGTTACCATAACATGGGTATGTAGGGTTTAGGGTACCATATCATGGGTATAGAGGAGGGTAACTGGTAGGGTTTCCTTATTATGGCAACTGAATTAAGATCCCTCACAGCAAACCCAGTTTGTTGGGCGCTCCCTAAGGAGGAGTCACATCAGTCTCCCACAGCAAGACGTTCAAAGTTTGAGTAGGCATGGTCCCCTCTCAATGAAAGACCTTGACGTACCCCACATGGCTGTACTTGAAGACTTTGCAGTCTTTGAAGGGTTGGCAGATTGTCAATGCCTTAGCTTCACGTGCACCATTGTTGAAAACTAGATGTGTTGTGCTTTAATGCCTTAGTGGTGTGCTAGTCTCTCTTGGTTCTATATACTGCAGCGTGTGCCCAGGCTAGCTGGGGTTCTTTTCCTCTGCAGCCATGAAGCGTGTACTGTCCAAGGTGCGGGCAAATTTAGCCTAAATACTTTTAAGCTCCCATGCGCTGGTCATTCTCCTGGGCTTGCAACCTGTTTGGGCAATGACAGGCGCGAAGCAGGAGGATACCGCAAACCAAGATCTTGGCCCGTGCATTTTGGCCTTTGAAAGGAGACGTCCATGACGAGATCCTTTCCCGGGCCAATGTACTACCCTAAACTTCCTAAACCCTAAACCCTGGCCAGTACTATCCACTTTTTGGAATCTGCCCCAGCCTCTGACTGAGCAGGCTTGGCTCTGGAAGATGCTTCCTTCAATATGGGGGTTTCCCTAAATTAGGGGTGCCATGTTTGGTCCCAATAATAAGCATTATAGTGATTAGCACTTTGGAGTCTATACTGGGGTTCCCGCTCTGTATGGAAAACTACCATATTAACAACTGGTTTAAGACAACGATGGTGTTGTTGAAAGGTGGCACGACGGCCGCCGTTACAAGGGAGGCTGGGAAAAGAGCAAGCTGCACGGCATGGGTCGCATGTCAGGCCCTCAGTCGGCAACCTTTTTTGCAAAGCTACGGACTTCCCTATCCCCTCAGAAATTGTCTTCAATGGTTGTTGCAGTATAATCCAAAGGAAGTAGTAAGAATGATATTGGTATTTTAGATCTGCCGGGATGAAAGTGGATACTTGCTGCACAATTCTTGCAAAAGTTAGGACCTGGCCGGATGGGCGCTGCTACCGGGGATACTACATCCGGGACCGGAAGCATGGGGAAGGATGTTTTCGCTGGCCTTCTGGCGTCCAGTACAGTGGCCAGTGGCTTCAAGGCATGTGGGACCTGAAGATAAAAGTGATGGGGATATTCATGGATCCCGTTCCCGCAGGTAAGCAGCACGGCATGGCAAGATACAAGTACCTCGGGGGCAAGGCTCTGTGCAGACGATGGCATGGATGCCTGCTTCATAGTCACTGTCAAATAATCACTCGCAGAGTCGTAGTGACTCTTTCACTGGTTGTAGGTGCGCTTCGGACGCTGGGAAGATGGCTCTCATGTTGAGTGGTTGGGCACTCTACGCCTGGGACTTAGCTCATGGATTGGGGGCTTTGAAGCTCCAGGATCCTGGAACAGCTGTTCGAAGGGCTTCAGGGTGGGGGGTTTAAGTCATGCCGACAAACGTTACGCAGAAAAAGCAGGCCTGAAGGTGGGCGTTTTTCGTGAGACATACTCCCCGCAACTGCTAGACGTATGACTGTTGCTACGCCCGCAGCTCACGCAAAGCGAAGTACGCCCTGATTATATTATAGTTTCCCAAAATAAGGGGACCCCAATATAGACCCCAAAATATTGTAGTCCTTATTATGGGGACCCCCAAAAAGGTACCCCTAATTTTGGGAAACCCCCATATCAGGTTACTCAAAGTTTCATAAACAGTAATGGCTGTACCGACTCAAAGCCTTGGCACAGTTAAGATGAATTGACGGGATCTGCCCAAGCAACTGATTTCAAAAGAAGCGCTTTTGGTCTTGAAACAATTGTTCTGAACAGGAATCCACTACTGTTGTTCAAATATGATCCAGAAAACTCGTTCTTCCCAGGGCCAGCATCGGGGATCCTGTCCCAGGGGCCATGCTAAGGAGGATGGCAGATCAGCCAAGGAGAACAAAGCTTTGTGTACAGGGACTGGATGAGCACTTGGCCTTGCGCGCGATTCTTGTAGTCCGTCCTACACGAGAACCCTATAAAGAACACAACCAATTTTTGGGTGTTGTCACACGCCAGGAGCACGTTTTCATTATCTCGAAAAGCATAACGAGGATTGCACGAAGGTTCCTAAAGCACGGGGTTTCGAAGGATGAGAGGCAAATCACAGGGCTAGGGTGCCAACCCGGAACTTGGGCATCAGATTAGGTGTTCCCAATGCTGGCCCCCTTCGAGCACCGCGTGAGGTAGTTCTGCAGTCTAAATTGCCACACTTGAATCATGCTTCTGCCACAGAAGTCCGTCGCAAGGTGACGAGAAGGGTGGGGATTGTTTCATGGCGGACGACGACTGCCGCTTGTCGCTTCATGCTGCCATTTCAGAGCACTCGCAATGTGGACGCCCAGAAAGGGGCCCGCCAGTCCTCTCATTTTTGGAAACCCCCAAGTTCCAAACCTAGGTCAGGAGGTTGAATGCCTGCGCCAAAGCCCGGCTGTCAATGACGTCACTTACAGCTGCTGAGGCGGATCCTGAATCCGCAAAATCTGCTTGAAGGGAACCATGCAGCATGCGCTAAATGGCAGAGTAGCAATGTATGTTAAACCGACTGCTAAAGTGGTCCATTCCTGCGTCCAATATCAGCCACGAGCTTTGCCACAGACCGCTTGCTGCAGATCAATACTCATGCCATAGTTGCGGTCAGAGTGAAGCAGACTTTCTGATGAGCTGGAATCAAAACGGACAGGCTATGTTCAGCAACACTGTCAGCATTCAATGTGGAGCTCAAGTAATGAGTCATGCACGTACTATCCGTTTGGTACCCTGTACGGCTTGAGCTTGCTTATCTCATTACAGGAAGATAATGCGTGGCTGCGGCACGACGACGACAACGACGACGACAACGACGACGACTACTGCTAGGGCTCCTCGGCCTGTTGCTCTCACCGCTGCTGCTTCCACTGCATACTAGGACGTCAGATAGGATGGAAACAACAACTGCTGCAACTACTACCTTGGAAACAACAACTGCTGCAACAACTACCGCCGCCGCCGCCGCCACCACCACCGCCACCGCCACCGCCACCGCCACCGCCACTGCCACCGCCGCTGCAGCCGCCGCCACCACCAGCACCACCAGCAC